ACAATAATTGTGTTAATTTACAATTATAATTTTGATTAAGGCGAAATGTTACAAAGTTCTGGAAAGGTTTATAGCCTGAAACTTCTCACTGCTCGAAGAAAGGAGATAAACGCAACATAAGGGACATCTTCTCCACACATCTGCATAATCCCCCTTTGGAAATAATCTAAACTAGGGGCCATTATCATACTTGAGGTTGCAGTTTCTGTATAGCTAATTATTAATTTTATGAGGAGCTGCTATTGCGTAATTTACATGGGTGATTCTGAGTTATAATGAGGAAAATCTATACTCGGTTTCTCTTTGTGCCTTTCATAGTATTTAGCACTTCTGTCATGTTCACTGTTAATTACACCTTTTTCTAAAGCATAATCTTCCATTTTAAGGAAATGCCCCTTAATCCCCTTAATTTCAATTCTCTGATAATGTTCTAAATCAGATCCTGATGAAATTAACTTTGAGCCACAATGGTGGCATTAAAATCTTAATCTTTTAAGGATGCTGCAAGACTCTTTGGATTTGCTGCAGAAGACTAACACAGTTGTCCCTCTGGAAAAGTATTCTAAATAAGACAGGACCATACTTTCTTTTAAAAAATTACATTATGATACAAAACCAGAAACAAACATTCTATTAGTGCTATTCCTACACTTTTTCCCCCTCTTAGTGAGAAAAAAAATGTAATATACCAAATGGAGATACTCTGCCTAAGCTAAAGAATTCTGTCATAACTCTACAACAATTTGAAAAGTGATCTTCTTGTCCAAGTGAGAGAAATCTACATGTCTTTGAGATCCATTTCTGAAAGAAAATTGAGGTCAGTCTCTGAAAATATACAGGCTGCCTCCAGATTGACTTTTGTGTGTGCTGCATGTGTAGGATAGGATTGGGTGGGATAAAGGGCTCCAATATCACCAGTGATGCTCACTGCATCCCCCCTGTTAAATACCAGAGATGTTATGAGCAAGCATGGAAGTATTCTGCACACTTGTAAATGCAACTTCCCCCCCTGCAGAATTCTAGAAGTCTAGAATTTCAACACAGTAAAATGATAGTTTGATGCTAACTCTACATTTTACCTCTGAATATTTTTTCAGTATGTGCATAGTCTGTCAAAGGAGGATTCTTTATTTTAAAAAATATTCCTGTACGTCTGCAAGATAACTGCATAAAAATCTTGAAGGGGGCCAGCAAGTTGGGGCTATCTGAGTCTTGGGAGATGTGCTGTTCTATAGGGCAGACACTGCAACAGAGAAGGCACACTTCCTGGGTCTGATTAGATGGGGACCTGAGCATGTCCACCCTTCCAGATCTTATGGAACAAGCAAAAATAATTGAAGACAGGCGGTCCTGCAAATAACCCAACCCTGTGTCATGAGAAACTTTACAGGTAATAACTAGTACCTTGAATTGCACCCAGAGGTCCACTGGGGGAAGTCACCTGGTGGCCTCATGTAGATGTTCTAGTGGGGGAAGAGCAGAGTTCTGTGGAATCACACATATTTAGGGGTTTAGGGCTGGAACTCTTCTCCCTTACCAACCCTGACTGGAGCCAACCCTGGAGAAGGAGAAGCAGCACCACAACACTGTGCTTCCCAACTCCCAAACCCCTGAGCCAGTCCAGAAGGATACCATGGTTGATGGTATCAAAAGCCGTTGAGAGATTAAGGAGGGCCAGGAAAAATGCACCCCCTACCATCCAGGTCTCTGCAGAGGTAATAAGTGTGACCAATGCCATCCTAGCATTATAACCAGGTCTGAACCCTGACTGAAGGGGGTCCAAATAAACTCTTTCCTCCAGGGCCCTCAGAATCTGCAGCCCAACCAGTTTCTCAACAATCCTCCCTAAGAAGGTGAAGTTGGTGGTAGGACAAAAATTGTTCAGTACTGTCAGGTCCAAAAATGGTTTCTTGAGAGTGTAGACCACTGCCTTCTTAAACACAGGCAGACCACCTACCTGAGTGCAGGTAGGACCACCCCTCACTCAAGAATGAATTCACCACTGCTTGGATCCAATTACATGCTGTCTCCCAGGGGGCCTTAGCCACCCAGAATGGGCATAGATCTAAAATACACATGGCTGAACTAACAGCCCCAAGGATCTTGTCTGTTTCCTCAAGACCAAAAGGCTCAAACACAACCAGATAACCATGCAGACAGTGCTTCAGTCAACTCCACTAAAAATGCATAGCCAGGGTCCAGCTCAGAGGAGATCTTAGTGTCCTTCTTCAATAGATGCCTGAGAATATTCTTCACAGTAGCCTCACAGGCGTTTGTCTGGCTGCCTCCTCTCCAAGAGGAATGAGGTCACCCTAAACAGGCTGCCAATCTGCAGACATGATAAAAGTGGAGAAATAATTACATTTTGTTGCTCTTATTGCCATGAATTAATTTTTAAGAAGGGGGCTTCATGCCACCCAAAGGCCCTGTTTACACAACATTGCCTGGCTGATGGTATTAGTCTCATCTAGCCTGTGGTAAAAAAAGTAGGGCCAGAAAACAATCGGTGATGAAGGAATGTGGACTGAATACGAACATGTATTATAACGGTATAAAAGAAATATGTTCTAGTTTGATCATCTAGATAGAATAAGGATCAAACTGTGAAACAAATGTATGAAAGAAGGGTAAATAAATTAAGAAATAATGGGAACATTGAGAAAGTCATGGCTGGATGAAGTTAGTGAAATCCTCAAAATGTAATAAATGGTGTTGGTGTAAGCTAGGAACTAATTAGATCTCTTTTATTTCCTGCCTCTACATTCTTTCACTCACAAGTTCTTACACCTTTTCTGCACTTTGCATAATGCTGGTTATCCCAAAAGAGAATAGGATGATGGGGATATATGTATATTTTGATTTGGAACCAGACATATATATGGGGAATTTCCAAATAAGCCTTTTAATTTTCAGTGCCTCATTAAAGGAACGTTATTGAAGGTCTAGATGATGTCCTCTATAATTTGTAATTTTCCTATTTATTTCCACTACTTTTACCTCCAAAAACTTGTTAACAAGGGCAAGTTTGGTATAATAGTGCAGTGCAGCTAACCTTAGCTGATTTCAGAAAGCCAAAAAGGCTGGACCTGCTTAATACTTCAGGGGTCATCACCCAGAAATCTTAGGGCTGTAAGCTAGAACTGGAAGTCAAAAAACATGGCAAACCACTTGCATTTTGTTGGCAAAACAACTGCAAAATGAACCCATGAAATCAGTGAGAGCCAAACTTGATTAGAGGGAGTCTTTACCATTGTGGCCGGGATGTGGGGGAGGACAGGGAAGGTAAAGAAAGGTACAGTTGAAGCATACTGAGAGGAAATGTCCTTAGGAAAGGTGGATGGATGACAACTACTGCACTCCCCTTATCTATCAACATTCTCCACTTTAACATGCACCAGTTTTTAACTAACAAAATTAAACATTTAAAAAAACACAGCTTGGTACTCCAAGTCTGGAGTTTGAACCAACAGATTTTCTCCTGTACCTGCATTTTAAAAGGGGGAAAATAGCTCTATTTCTCCCTTATTACTTAGCAAAGTAAATAAAACAAAGTAGTCAGGAAGGTTTAATTCTCCCTAACCCTTGTATAATATTCCTGCTTCAGCCTTAGGTAAAAAAAAGAAATTTAGGGAAATATGCACACTACTTATATAAAAAGGGAAAATCCAAACAATATCCACCCTGTAGAACTAACTGGAAGGTTCTAGGCAATGAGCTGTATCAGGTTATTTGGTAAGACTGAATTGCAAAATTGACTGGAAAAAGAGCATTCCAGTCGAAATCAATATAATCCGATTTGTATCTGCTTATTCATGAGCAATTTTTGTGCTGCTCTTGCCCTGTATGCCTAGACTAAAAGACAGTAACCATAAACATGGAATACTGTAATAGAAGAACGGTGTAAGAGTCCATTTTAACAGGGGCTTTTGTGCATTCATACCAGAAGCACACAAGTAACGAGTAGTTGCCTAATCGGAGTCTGAGCAAACAGGTGCTGAGTAAGCATCCAGCTTTTTCCTAACTGGGAAGTGGGGGTGGGGGGGGTGGGGGGTGGAGTAAACGGCCGACCGCATACTGGCGGCTTGGCAATGGGAGGGGCAAAAGGGGAGGAGCCAACCCAGCTGGAACCAGCAAAACCAGACCTGAATAAAGCAGGAGGTGCCATGAAATGCACAGCTTATAGTGAAAAATCAGTGATTTCTGGTACTTTCAGAGGCACTCCGCCAGTAATGAAGCATGCTCAGAATCACTTCCCCATAAGGCCTGAACCAGTCCTTTAAAAACAGTTGTGAAAGGGCACTCGGCTCAGGCTGCTATCCCACGTTCATTAAAAGGAAAAAGCGTTTTGAGACAGCCAGTTTGGTATAGCGGTTAAGGCACCAGGCTAGAAACCGGGAGACGCAGAGTTGTCGTCCCGTCTAAGGCACGAAGCCAGCTGGGTGGCTTTGGGCCAGCCCCTCTCTCCCAGCCCTGGGAAGGAGGCAAGGGCAAACCTTCCGAAATCGTGCCAAGAAAACTGCAGGGGCTAGTCCAGGCAGTCGCCAGAAGTCAACAGTGACTTGAAGGCACCCTCCCCTAAAAAAAGTGTTTGAACCCGCGCCTCCGCTCTCTGCAAAGAAACACCCCTTTAAGCTGTACAGCTCTTACCAGGATTGATGCTCAAGCGAGAAAAGGTGCAATTTTATTTTTTAAAAGTTTTATATGCGCGTTAGATAAACAAGGCAAACAAGCAGTATAATAAACAGCAATACAAGACTGAATGAAAAAACTGCCAAGGAACGGAAAGAGAAACGTATCAAAGCTCCACGGGCGCAGGACCGAAGCACTGCCCCGCCGGAGCCGCTTCGGGACTCCCTCGCCCCTGCCTTTCCCCAGCCGCCGAGCTCCCCTCCTCCCGCCGCCTGCGTCGTGGCCACACGCCTCCCCTGCCTGGCCAATGGGCGAGCAGCGCGCCGCCTCGCGCAGCTAGGAAGGAAGGGCAGGCGAAGTCCATTGGCCTAAGGAGGGGCTGTGGCGAACCCGGGGTGAGACGTCACGTCAGCCTGCCGGCCTGTCAATCTTCTGAGCAAAGCTGGGAGCGAGGGGTGAAGCGAAGCCTGGGCTATCCCCAATCTCGGTCAGTATTCTTTTGAATTAAGGGTTGGAGGGCCTGACCCTGACGCCAGTGGCGCTCCCAGCACTTTTTGGGAGGAGAAGGGAAATCCCTGGCCGGATTCCTTCTCACTGCCCTCAGATGGAGAATAGGCGCTTGTAATAGCCGCCTCCCCCAGAAGAAAACGCACCGGTTGTGTTTTCTGCTCTGCACACCGCTAGGCCCCGCTCTCTCCCGCAGAGGTGGATCGGATTCCTGAAAGTGGGCCTCAAACATCCTCTGTTCTCTCATTTAAAGGCCCTGGTGTACTGCTTGAATACCTTTTCCCCTTTCTTTCCCTTCACTTTATTTGGCTGTTTCTTTACCCTAGAAATTGTTGCCTGTTTGTTTAGTATGTAGTGCTTTAGTTTAACTCTCGGTTCTGTGTTATAAATAGGGGAGAATTGAGCTATGAGTATCATCATCAGCTATTCCAGCATTTTGCTGGAGAAGGAGGGCAGCTGAACACTCCAGGTGGTTTTCATGACTTACTAGGATCTTGACGATTTTCTCCGATTGACCTTTTCCAGGAACTTATCCTCCATGGCGCTAAGGTTACCCAGCCGGATATTTCTGCAATGCAGACGCTGTGTGACAAACTTCTGTGATACTCGAGCACAGAGCACTAGTGCACCTGTGCCAAAAGGTCAGTGATCAATTTTTGCTAACAGTGGCAGAGTGGGGTGAGGGGAGAGATAGTAGAGCCACTGCTAAGAAATAGATAAACCTATTTAGGATGTTGGATTTTATGGGGAAGGAGCACAGAAGAGACCATTGGACTGAGAAATGGCTTTATTTTGTCACTTATGTATGTTACAGAAAAAGAAGGGAAGCCCTTGGTGAACGGATCAAAAGGTAAGCAGATTCCTCTTTCTTGCTAACTGTGGTGGTGAGCAGATATGCAACTTTAAATCACCATGACTCTTGCAACAATGTTCCTCCTATTTCATGGATCCTTACACTGGGAAAAAATTGGAAGGCTATTTGCTGGGTGCTATAAAATACATTCTCACTTTTAATTCCTTGTCATTAATTTGATGGATCTGAGGAAGGATATTGTGAGTTTCCACAGGATCTGTACATCTAATAGGTAATTAAATAGATTAAATTTTAATTAGATAATTTAAAGGTTTTATTCCCACAAAAGTTGTCCCAGATATCCTGTTCTGGAAGATACAAACCATTGGCTGCAAATACTGCCATTATCATAACTGACAATTTTATAAAGCAATTGTATGTGTGTCTTTCCAGAAATAAGCCCCACTGAGCTTGCAATTTCAACTTACAAATAACAAATTATGTGGAATATAAGAATGGCTTGTATATTCCAGAGCCAGGATGGTATAATGGTTAAGGTGTTGGACTTGGATTGGAGAGACATGGATTTGCATTCACTCCTAGCCAGGGAAATTGACTGGAAAGCTTTCGGCAACCTGCTATCTCTCAGCCCACCACACCTCACAGGTTTGTAATTGTGGTGAAAAATGGGAGCAGGAAGTGCTATATAACTGTTGAGTTCCTGTAGGAAAAGCAGGATAGAAATCTAACAAATAGCATAAAATAACTGTATGCAGTCCAGGATTTCAGGTGTTCTGAAGATGAAACCAGATAGGTGAAATAGAATAATTAAGGCCACAAATTAACTCTTGAAAAACCCATGAATATGTATAAAAACAGCCTGTCCCTTATGAAATAGTATTTTCCTCAGTATTACATTTTTCTCTTTGAACAATGCATACGAGCCTTTAAGAAAAACTTTTTCACTCCTTGAAACAAAGATTTAAAATACGAAACATCATAGTTCAAAGAAAAATGAGTTGTGTCACTGCAGTTCTGCAGTTTGCCTGTGTACATTTGGAATACTAAAACGGACAATATTCTTGTGCTGTGTGTATAGGAATAATCTTTTTGTAACTCCAGGCAAAGAGATCTATACAAGCTTGCATGTGCCAATTATGCAACTTTTCAGTGCTGTTCATGTTACTGTCTGTGGGGAGATCAGTTGGACTGTGTACTCCCATTGCTGCAGTAGGCCTTGTCATATGGGTGCCTCTCATACTGGTGAGGGAACTTTTGTGTCGGTCCCTTTGTTCTTTAAGCTAGTTCTATTTTTCTTCTTCCAGTTCCAAAAGCCCAGTTTGACTGGCGTGATGCCCTACAGCTGGAAAGGCTCCTGACTCAGGAGGAAATAATGATCCGGGACTCATTTCGTGCCTATTGCCAGGAAAAGTTGATGCCCAGGATCCTCATGGCCAATCGAAATGAAGGTAACTTTGTATTAACTGTCTGGTGTCCTCCGTACTTAGAGATGACAACTTCCACAATCCCTTGGAATTCCTGATCTGGCTGAAGCTGATAGAATTGAAATTCAAAACCTATGTAGGGCAACAGATTGCCTATCATTGTCTTACATGCCATGACACATTGTGACAGGAATTGAGAGTATTATTCTCTCTTTAGAAATAGAGAATCTCCTGTTTGACATTTGCTGAATGTGCCAACACATTAAATAGCTAAGTTACTTATTCAGTGGCCTGACTGGGAGCAGCATGGGGGGCATTGAAAGAATTAATAAATTGTTTTGGATCAATTTCAAAAAAGGAGTGGTAGTATTTCTCAGTTAAGTGTACTCTGATTTCCTTTTAGGTAATCAAGATCTCAGAAATGAAATGATACCTATCTATCTAGGTCTCAGAAGTTTTTTTTATTAA